CGGGAGCCCGGAGGAGTCTCCTCCCTCCGGTAGGTTCGGCCTCAGTTTCACCATCGCCTGACAGTGTTTCGGGAGACCTGGCCTTTTAGGTGAAGAGGGATGAGCTGTGAGTCCTCAGGGGTCCAGATCTGGGCATCTAATGGCCAGTGGAAGGAGCATTTATTTTTTCTTTTATCTTTTTAAATTCTCACCCATGGATATGCTGTTACTGATTTGAGAGAGAGACATTGGTGGGAGAGAGAAACGTCATCGGTCACCTCCCGCAGGCACCTGGCCCGGGGATCTAATCCCCAACCTCGTGTGTGCCCTGCCTGGCAATCAGTGGGCGGACGGGACCATCCTCCAACGGGTCTGGGTCAGTGGAGGGAACGTTTGAAACGAGCTCTCGGTGGCGTTGCCGACGCTGTGAGAAGCCGTCTCCTTTCTTTACGTGTTTAAGGGCCGGTGGACCTTTGGTCCTGTCCAAAACGTCCGCACTTAGGAGACGCCTGGGTTCAGACGGCCCATAACGTTTATTCTACTTTCGGTCTCCAGGTTTAATACATAAAAAAAATCCCATCATGTTCTATTGGCGCCACAGTGGCGTTGTGGCTGCATCGCCAGCGAGAACCCTCCTTGCCTCCCGCGCCTGGCTGCTCAGGGCTCAAGGCCTTGGGTGGACGGGTCAGCGTGGACCGCAGGCTTCATGGACGTTGTAGACAGGACCGACTGTCAAGGACTGAGGTTCAAGGACCCTCTGACCTGGAACGAATGTCTCTGTGGACGATTTGGAAGGGATGAATGTCCTGCCAGGGTCTAAAGGTGCTGGTGCTGGCTGCGGGTGGCCGTGGACGCCGAGCGGGCCCGCACTCTGAGCAGCGGGCAGGAGGGGGACAGCGGGGCGGGACCAGCGGGGCTGGGGCCCTGGGCCTGCAGCGGGGACTCACCCCTACCTGCGGCCCAAGCACGGCCTCCTGGTCTTATTAAAATTCCAAGAAGTATTAATAAGTCACTTAGGGCTAAGTGTTTTGCAGCACTTCTGTCTGTGAGCTAATGTGCTAGTTGTAAAAATGTACCCTGGTGGCTCTCTTACTTGTCACGTGGTTTTAAGTCTTCTTTTCTTAAAAGTGTGCGGGGCTTGTGCGCTTTGGGTGGCTGTCTCTGGGCGTCTTTCACGGGCCCCTGACCCCTGGGGCCTGGCTCCTGGAACCGGGCGGCAGACGTGTCCTGTTCTTTCCCTTCCAGTTTTGTCCTGTTCTGTCCCGCATCTTACCCGGCGTCCTTCATTCTGGCGCCCAGTCCCCTCTCCCCAGGCAGCTCGGTTGTGGCCTCTAAGTACAGCCCGAGGCAGCCAGCAGCACCCAGCAGCACCGGGTTTGGAAAAAGGGCTGAGTCAAAGCGGGGTGGGGTGGCGGCCCGTCTGAGGTCTGTGGGGTCCTCCCCTGGCCTCGCATCACCTGGCACCTCAAGGGCGCGCCTGAGGCCCTGCTCCCACGTGCCCACGCCCAACCGCGTTTCGGGAGGAGCCCCCCACCCCACCCCCCGTTTGCTCTGCAGAGCGAGGCCCAGCAGCCCTGCCTCCTGCACCTCCCCAAACACGGCAGCCCCCGGGTCTCCCTTTGAAATTCCCTGGAGGTCTTTTTTTTATGTTACGAAAATGTCAGGATTTTGTAGTTGTATAAGCAGAATAAACTTGTCCCTGCATCTGTTCTTTAAAACGTACTCTTTTAACGTATTTGTTTTCTGTTTTGTCACAGCCCCATGATGATACTCACCCAGAAGATCACGAGTTTGGCCTACGAAGTTCATGACGGTGAGAATTTAGGAACTGACTTCTCATCGCTGGAAGGGGTCACGCTCAGCGCATCTGTTCTCGGGGCGTTGCCCTCGCTCCCCGCCGTTCGTGAGAGGGGGGCGGGGGGGCGGTGAGGCAGGGGAAGGGAAGGCCGACGCCTACTTAGGGCTCTTACCGTGTGCGGGTTCTCTGCCGTGTTTCACCTTAATTTTGCACTCGATTCGGTGACAGAAACAAAGTAAAATAGTGCGATTCAGACACGTGACCCACGTTAGTGGCAATTCAGGATATAAAGGAAATAGACGTTCGGTCTAAATGAAGTTTTCTTAGCTCCTGCTTCACCCCTGTGCTACATGCGTGTTAAAGTTTGAGCAGCTCCCGGCCCTTCCCCCTTCTGCGCACACGCACGCGTATTTTTAGTGTAAGAGTTTACAGGTCCACCTTACGTCTCGGGGGAATGACCCCGTGCCATAGGAGGCGCCCGGTCAGGGCCCCGCGCCCTGCGGGTTAGACTCTGGTCCCTCAGAGGCTGGGGGAGCCTCCCCATCAGCCCGCCGTTCGCAGGAGCCTCGGAGCTTCCTAGGCGGCAGCAGCCCCACTGCCTGTGTCGCCCGCCCTGTGCCCTGTGCCCTCCGCTGGGGAGGACCCTCACGTGCTTTTTAAGTGCTGTTTGCATCTTAACCTAGTCTTCTTGTGGCCTTTAAGTTGGGTTTAGGATCTGGCATGTGATGTGTGATCACCATCACGTCCTCCGGTCTGGGGGAAGCCAGAGGGGCGAGGGGGGCAGGGGCCCAGGTCTCAGGGCTCCAGGGTCCCTTCCGCAGTCCTGATGGTCATTTAAGTCATCCAATAACAGAAACGCTCGAATGCCCCTTTGGAAGAGTCACAGCATTTACTATGAAATAGGTTTGCTGCCCTGGCCGGCTGGGCTCGGTGGTCAGAGCGTCGGCCTGCGGACTGAGGGTCCTGGGTTTGATTCCGGCCAAGGGCATGGACCTGGGTTGCAGGCTGGATCCCTGGCCCCGGTCGATGTTTCTCTCTCCCTCCCCCTCCCCCCCCTTTCACTCTCTCTGAAAAAGCAGTGGGGAAAAGTATCCTCGGGTGAGAATTTAAAAAAATGAAAATGAAAATAAAAAGACATGTTTGCTGTGGGGAATTTCTTCACTTAGTTATAATTTCCTCTAAAGAAAAGTCAAATTAGTTCCCCGACGTGTGCATTCATCTGGCACAGGCCTGGGCGTGTTGGGTGGCTCGAGGGTCCGTGGAGCTGGTGTTGCCATGAGCCAGAAAGGAGCCGATTACCCCAAACAGTTTTATACCCAAACTGGGATCAGAGCACGAATGTCAAATGAGGAAAGCGATGAATGTGTGAGTGGGAAAAAACACCATTCTTTGGAGAAACCGTAATTGATAAAAGTATCTTTTTTTTTTTTTATCTCTCAGGGATGTTCCGAAAAGATGAAGAACTGACCCCGTCACAGAGAGATTTAGCTGTAAGGTGCGTGCCTCTCGATTGTATTCTGCCCGGGGCACGCAGTACCCACCTGGCCGGGGCGGCCTGGTCATTCGGGAGGCGCTTCCTTCATGGAAGCCACTGGAAGCCTCCTCCCTCGGCGTGCCTCCCTGCCCCCACACCCCGCCGGCCTGGGCTAGGCGTCCCGTCTAAGGCCCCAGAGCACCCCGACTGTGTCCTCGTTCCGCGTGCACCTCCTGGGTGCCATGAGGTGACCTGCTGCATGTTCACTCTCCCCCTTGCGGCTCCCTGAAGATGGGGGAGCCCCTGGTCTCCGTGGCGGCCCTGCGGTCGTGCTGAGTAATGATTGCAGCTACACTCTGTGGACCAGCACTCGGCGGCAGGCCCCGGTCAGCTGTGACAGTCACACAGCGCGTGGGTGCCGTGCTCTGAAATGCGGGAGACCCAGTCGGGTGTGCTCATCAGTGTGAGGAACTCATCCTGGGCCTGGCTTCTGCTCCGTTCATTGTAGGAACTCCGTTGACTAATTTAAGGAACAGCTTACTTTTTGGAAGGATCTTGACATCATCTAATTAGAGATCAGATACGTGTTTTACGTAAAGAAAAACTTTGGAAGCGCTTGTTTCCTGAAAATCTAGAACCGACGGGCGCGGGCGCGGCTGCCGGCGAAGGAGGCCGCGTGTGTGACCGTAGACAGGCCTCCCCGCGCTGTGCACCTCTGATCCCGGGGAGCCTGCCTTCGGGAGCACCTTCTGTGTTCCCCACCTTTAGAAGTTTCTGCTTTGATAGTCCCTAGAGTCGGTCTTTACATGTCAGCCCACACACATGAATGAGCTTCGTTGCGGAGGAGTTAAACTGACCCGGGTTCCGTGATCTCCGTGAGCCTTGGTCTGTCCCAATGACCACTCATCAGTGGAGACGCAGGTCCCATTTCATCTCTGTCTCTCACAGAGCCACCTGGCAAGACCCCAAACCTAGTTCAACTCATTGCTCCACTGTCCGAGGAGTGGGAGAAACCAGAGTGGAAAACGTCCGGTCTCGCCCACTGGGCTCATTTTGAATTTGATGCCCCGGATTTAAAATTATGGTACCTTTTGTCACGAGTGACCTAGGGCAGAAACGTAGGCCAACTGCCTTTCTCTTACTGCAAATCCACGCCAGCAAGGCCGGTTAACGGTTTCTGTGAGATCTCTCCCTCACCTGACCTTGACGGCTGACCCTCTCTAACCTGGCTGAGCTCCCACCCTTCCGCCGGGATTCCCCAGCCCAGCTTTGTTGTTTCCTGCGGGGTCTGCGGTCATCGCTCCCCAGCCGGGCTCCGTTTTCCCTCCTGCCCTCTGCAGCCCCCCCGCCCAGCAGGCAGAGGTGCTTTTCATGTGCATGGAGTTGTATTGTCTTCCCTGGACACACATCCTCCCTCGGATCCTTTGAGAAGCGAGAATGAACTGTTCTCTCTTCTGACCACTGCACCTAAGCGCCCGTGGCCCCCACCCTCCCCCACTCAGTCCCTGGTGACTGCGCAGACCCCGCTCCCCGCCAGGAACGCGCCTGCCTTCCCCGCATCACACCCCGGCCCGGGCCTGCTCTGTTTTCCTTCGCAACGTGAATCATCGGCTGATGGTATTTATTTATTTAGATTGTTCCCCTTCCTACCCGAGGACAGAACTTGGTCTTACTGCACCCTCATCACCTAACAGTCACCGCGGGGCGCGATTGTGCCCCTAGGAGATGCGACAATGTCTGGAGTCATTTTTGTCGTCACAAATGGAGGGGGTGGTATTGACATCGAATGGGTGGAGGCCAGGGATGCTGGAGACACATCCTCCATCCCCACAACAAAGAATTACTGTTAAAAATGTCAGTAACGCTGAGATTGAGAGGCCCTAACCTCGGGCTACACGTAGTTGATATCAAATAAGTATTTACGGAAGGACAGAACGAATCTTTCATTTAATGCCACTCATGACGTACATAGCATTATACCTGGCTCTCACTTTAATGGCAGATGTTACCGTTTTCTGCCCCAATCCCTAAATGACTCGTCCTTTAGGATGTGACCGTTGAGCCAGAAATTATTTTCAGCAAATTTCGTGGTTGAGAACCATCTCCCGTCCTTGTGAATTGTGATACATAGTTTGACTTGGTGAGATTGGGCTGAACTTGGACAAGTTGGCATCGGCTTTGGTCTTGGAATCATTGGCATGGACAATGGAGCTCTGTTGTGGACGCACAAGGAGGCCCTTTGTGAGGGTGGTGGCAGGGTGCGGCCTGGCGCTGGAGGGCCGGGCAGGGGGCGGGCTCAGCATGAAACGGGACTGCGGGGGGACGCTGCTGGGGACCTTTCCCTCTGATCAGCTGGGAGCCCTCCAGAGAAAATGCTCACGGCTCAAAACACTTGGAGAGGCAGACAAGTGATTGTGAGGAAACTAACAGGGAGTCCTGGTTAGGCGGCGGCCCAGCTGGTGCCAGGTGGGCAGGGAACACTGTTTTCTCTCTGCTCGTTTTTTATAAAAATATGTCTGAGGGGTTCTGTCCCCTGCCCCTGGCCCCACAGAGTGTTTGTGCTTTTTCAGGGGACAGCTTCTCGTTCTAGAGAGAAAGGAGGGACGGTAACACGCCCGAGAGCCTGCTCCCTGCTCCCAGGCGTAGCCCTTTTATTTATGATGATTTATATCAGTGGACAGCAGAATCGATACATGGAGCCGGTTCTCAAAAATTAACTCACTTACATGATGGTATATGTAGTCTGCGGCGTCTCCTGTGTCACTAACCAGTGTTTACCTGGCACCCGCACTGAGAACTAACATGCTTGGTAGACTTTAGACTCATGTGCCGTTGGGGCTTGACCTCGAAGCATAAAAAATGTTGGGAGACAGCCTCGATTTCCTCTCTCTCTCGCCCGCACCCAGTCCGTTAGCAAACCCACGGCTGCCCTGTGCGCGGATGCCCCCCCC